CGTTATGCAAATTACCGTCACTGGCGTCCACCTACCACTCTGTTACGCATAAACGTAACGTGGATGCTTTGTGTACCAAAGTGTACGCGTCTAGTGTTTGGGGTGAAGAAAAAATACTTGTTCGTATGAATAAGTGTACGGTGTACATTGAAAAAAAAAAATATATGAAAATTAATATTTTGCAGTACGTATTACTCCCCAACTGAGAAAATTGTGATGTCTAAAGCTATCGGTCGAGTTATTACTATTTAATCCAATAAATTAAACGTTTTGTTTATTGAATTTTCAACTGAATGTCTCACGTAAAAATATTATCATATCGATATATAAAGATAAATATTTTGTTCGTTTTTACACTTTTAATTAAGTTTGGATACAAAGGGAGAATATGGTGGCTGAATCCCCCCCCCCCAAGGCATTGGGTACTAACTTATAATATTACCTTAATTTTCAATTTGTCAATTAAAATAAAGAGAAGCAATACTATATTTATAACATATTTTATTTTATTACTTATTGACTAAAAGTGATTGCTAACCGTGATTATTTATAAAGTCCTCGTGATCCTAACCTAGAAGGATAAGAACAGAGGATTGGTCAAATTAATTTACTAATAAACTGAGATCTTTTTTTCGTCTAAAAAATATTTTACACTCTAATCTATGTAATTATTTAGGTATAATGTATACAATAAAAGGTAATTTTGTTATTAAAGTTATTTATTATTATTTTATAATATGCATATATGATTATTATTTTATTCGCTTAAAAATAATAACTTAATGACTATGATTTTATGTACTCGAAGTTAATTTTTTCGTCCAACCCTCCCCACCCTTTTTTAATTTCTAGATCCGCGCCGCATATAAGCATAGTGTACATTGTTAGAGAACGCAATGAAAATACTGTTCTACGATCAAAGTTGGGACTTATCTAAATAAATTTATCTAGATAAGTTATCTAGATAGATTTTTTGTCATCTTTTATCTTATCTAGATAAATAACGTTAAGTTATCTAATTACTTATCTAAGATAAAACTTTTACTTATCTAGATAATTGTCTGTATTCTTGCCCAGATTAGAGTTATTTTAATTCTAGAACGGAGACGAATCCTACAAATCAAAAATGATCAAAATCGGTCCAGCCGTTCTTGAATTATAAATTCTGTAACTAATCTGATTTTCTTTTATACATATAGATTTTCTATTCATAATCATAATTCATGTACTATTAATGAGTAATTATTATTTCTTGGTATGACATTTTGTTTGTATTTTCATGTCGGGAAAATATTTTTCGTATTTTTAAACTTAATTTCTTATTTTTCCACGGAAGTTCCAAATATAGTAGGTATTTGATTTTAATATATACATGTCACTCATACGCTGAATAGTCATTACTTCACTCTTGGAACCCGTAAAGTTTTAATTACTTATATAATAATGAAAATCATCAAATTAATATTAGTTAATATGTTAGTTATGGTAACTAAAAATAAAAAATTATAGAAATAATTGTAAATCTTATAATCATATTAATAAATAATATAACTTAAAATGTATTATTTATCAGTCTGTAAAAATAAAAAAAAACACATCATTGTAAAATAAATAAATTAATCACTTCATTCAGAATATAAAATAGATACATAATTATAATAGTTAAAATATTTATTATAAATATTTAAGTATAAATAAAAAAAAAAAATATTATAAAATATGAATTAGAAATTCAACTTTTCTATCTATAATAAAATATACATATATTAATACTATAGAATACATTATTAAATCTTTTAAAATAAATAATTTTTATTCATATCAACAAATAATATAAATTAAAATGTTGTATAACTGTTCAGTTTGTAAAAATCTAAAAAAAAAACTGTAAAAGATTTTATTAGCAAACAATTCGTTGGCTATTCGGAATACTGGAGTGGTAGTTCCAACGATTAAAATTTAACTCCCTAAATTCAAAAACCTAATTATTAATATCTTCCATATATGATATGTTTGATCTGATGTTAACGGTATTCCCAATTTCTCAAATAATGTTATTTGTATATTTTTTTTAAAAATATCATTTTGTCAAATTTCAAATTCCAAATAAAAGTTAAAAGTTTAAAAGCATTAAAACGTCTTTGAAATATTCAAAAATCAGAAATTTGATAACTGATAATTTTCGTGATTTCTGAAATTCAGATAATTGATAGCAAAATCGTTATCTCATTGGGATTACAGCCAATCGTAGAACAGTATTTCCATTGGGTTCTCTAACAATGCTTATATGTATCCGCGCTTACTTGTAATCAATAACCAACATATAGATAGGTTGAAAATTGTTGTGAACGTTACGGACGGCGTTCAGTTTTGATACGTTGTTTTCAAGTTTTCGTACCTTGTAAGAGTTTAAATTTCAACTAGGGAAGACAACTTATATTATTTAATCATAGCATATAGTAAAATAATGTAAAATATCTAAGGATTATAAAAATCAATATTTTAAAATAATTATCTAAGAAATTTAAAAATAATAATGCTATATTTTAATAACCTAGTATTTTTATACACAAGAACAACTCTCTTACAGTAGGTCATAGTTAATATAGTCATATAAATAATATTGTTTTAAACACTTTACTGGTTTTTTAAACCGGTTCGATTACATATTTTCGTGAAACACGTTGAATGTTATTTTAAATGAATGCGAAAGTAAATACTATCATCTAGTCATTCGCACGAGTTGATACCTACTGTGTACCTGTGTAGTAATAACAATACATACTGTATACTATTTATAGCTTGAGTTCATATATTTGTTTTATTTTTTAAAAATATCTGTGATTATTATTTTTAAAATGCATAGTTGGACAACAATTATTGCCCTTGTGGTAGTATTCATATTTGCCGTCGAGTTTCGACCATTAGATTACTTTATGACTACGTATCTCACCAGTCCACGATTAAACATTACTCTATCTCAGGTAAATACTTAAATAAGTTTAACTCATTCCAAAAGTTTACTGTAACTATACGATAACAATTATAGTTATAAATCAGTTGCTTGATTCATAAAAATTATTATTGTATAATTATACAGAATAAGATGTATCGTACTGTAAGTATTGATGAAGCATGAATAACATAGATGAGCGATACCAAATTAATTTTAATACTTAATACCCGGTACATTACTTTTTTTTAAATATTTTCTTTAACTCTCCTAAACAAATGTTATATTGTATTGTATATAGCGATACATTTTAAGTTTGTACTTATAGTATGTATGATAATAACTTACTTAATTTCAGTTTATTATACATACATTGTACACTATACATCAAATATAAATATTAGTATTTTTTTTTTTTTATGAGGGTTGAAGATTAATATATTATTATGCACTATAAATCGATAAATTTAAAAATTTATTTAAAAATTTTAATTAAAAAATAAATAAAAATTTAAAATTATATGAATGTTTAATATTTAATCCAATGTTTAAAAATGTATAACCAATATTGAATATTATATTAAACATTTATCAAATATTTAAATATTTTTAAATATTTCTTAAATATTGAATAAATATATCTAATCTGTGTGGTTTTTTTTTTTTTTTAAAGTAGTTCATAAACTATGTTTAAAAAAATAATAACATTTTTATTCTTAATACAATGGTTTCTCTGGCAGTAATTAATAGTATATTTTAAAATTTAGTAAAAGCGGTCATAATGATAGCTATAAATAACTTAGATTGGATTATAACTGAAAATTTTATAAATACAAGATCCCACTAACGAAATGTAGTTATTATAAACATAGTTAATCATTGCGATGTTTTTATGTTGTAACATTATTAAATAATATTTCACAATGATCTGTAGCCAGTTGTAAACATGAAGTATACATGCATGCATATGAAAGTAAAAGTAGAATACTATATACCTACTTCAAGATATTTATGTAAAAATACTCTTTACAAGTATTTTGTATTTTATGTTATATTCAACTATTAAAAAAAAAAAAAAAAAAAAAAAAAAAAAGCGGCCATATAATAAATTATATGACAATGGTTAACTGCTATTCGTTAAAAATGGTGGGACACGTTTCCACCAAAAGTGTACCTTTCCTTTTTTCACCAATTTATATTTTGACCGATACCCATTTCCACCAAATGATATTTTGATTAATGCCCGTTTCTACCAACCGTTTCTACCAAATCAGTTTCTATTATGAAAAATTTGATAGATTAACGTATTTTGCATAATATTATGTGTGTTAGGTATTGATATGGTTCAATATGATATGAACTCAGTAAATAATTGAATTTTATTAAAAATGATTAGTAAATATGTATTTTATTGCATGTACTTATATTTACACAGGCAACAGATGAATTGGCACATCTTCGTGACTATTCCAACATCTTGTCTATTTTAGTAATAACGATTATCACCGATTATTTACTCTATAAACCGGTTTTGCTATTCAACGTCTTCTGTGGAATACTTTTCTATGTCAATCTTGTGATGTTACCTAATTTTATTCGACTAAAAGTAAGTATTTACATTTAAGGAATGCATGGTATGATATAATAAGCCATTTTTAAATAGTTGTATCTTCAAATATTAAAATTGATTTAGGTACTTTGACACGTTATGTTAAACTAAATTATTGAATGTTAGTACTGCTAAGTAAAAGTTTAATTAAACATTTAAAGCTAACGCATCATAAGCATTTAGAATTGGACAACTAATTTTCAGATGATTTAATTTTTCTATTTTGAAGGTTTTCGAGCTATTTGGAGCATTTTTCATACCTCATGAAGTAGTATATTTAAGTTACTTATTTGCAAGAGTCCACGATAAGAGATATTACCAAGCCACATCAGGATTAGCAAGAACCGCTATGTTATTAGGCAAATTTTGTTCATCAGTATTTGCTCAGACTTTGCTTTTTACTCGAGGAAAATCTTATGTTAAAGACCTACCCTGTTTCACATTAGGAAGTAAGTATGATTATTAATTAAATATCTAATGGCAAAATTCGATGACTTTTTATATTCCATCCATCCTTTCTTCGCTTATCAGTCCTTTAAGAATTACTAATCCTTATATATTCAGCCTGTTAAAGTGCCAATTAACTCAATCAAATGCTTAAATTTTCACAATCTAACCCATCACCCAGTTACTCTACATATTTTTTATCAGATCTCCCTACCTTACTTGAGTTTTATCAATTGGAATATTTTAAAGCACATCACGAATGATAGAATACATGATGGAATATACTTTTTATTCAAACAATTAAGAATTAAGGTTATTTTAAATTGCTGGTACATAAATAAATTCATAGATACTAATATGATATGCATACTTAATTAGTCACAATAAATCTTTTTTTTTAAAAATTATAAGAAAAAAGATTTTGAAAAATGAGCAAGTTTGCGATTAATGAAAAGCTTTAGCATACTTTATCCTAAAATATACGATGTATATTACGAATTTACTTTTAACTTCAATTTTCGCCTCGTTTAAATATAAATTAATGATCAAATACATATATATTATATATAATGAAATTAGTGTTCATTTAAATTCCTCAAATATTTTATTTTCAGTTTCCAATATTGATAAATTAATTATTATCCTAGTTATAATTATTCATTTAATACTTGTATTTACCATCTATCACAGAAAATATGTTCTTATAAAAAAACAGAAACAATTTAATCATTTTAGACTTTGAAACTTCATTAATTTTTAGTATTTAGTGCTATTTGTCAATTCTGTTATCTAAAATTTTAATTTAAAAGTACTTTATATACTTTTAGTTATCAGAGGTGTCCTGGACCTTAATTTAGAGGGGGCGAAAGGAAAATCTTCTGTATTTATACATTTTTTTTATAGAAAAATAACAATAACTGTTATGGTTGTAGGAGGAAAAAATTAAGAAAAACACAATAACTATTACCATACTAATAATTTTCGAAATACCACATACCAATCAAAGTTGTTAAATCTAGGGAGGGCGATCGCCCCTTCGACACCCTTAAAATACCCCCTTGTTAAATATTCATATAGTCACAAAAATAATTGAATATTGTATAGAAGACTTGTATTTATTCTAGGTGTAGTGTTTGCATTCGTTTGGGCATCATTTTTACCACCAGTAAGACGAAGAAATTACAAAGATGATGTTATTGCAAAGCTCATGGTAAATAATAATAATGAACAATCTACAACGATGGTGAGTATTTTCAATTTTTTTATTTATAGTGAATTATGTGTTCAATTAAAAAATGATTATATCTTAACTTGAAGAATGAATATCTTTTTTTTTTTTGACAGAATAATTTAAGAAAAATAGTGTTTAAATTGAGAAAATAATTTACTGATCTTAAATTCCAACAATAATATAGGTATAATAATGTTATTTGCGGACAATTTATAAGGTCCTTTTTATCAACTGTATAAACCAAAAATTATATTTAGTGTTAAAAACATTATTTACATACTTGTTATGAAACACCATCGGTATAAATCATGTGATGTAAAAATTATATTAAATTTAGGTATAATCGTAAATATTAAATATATATAATCATTAAAAATAAACAAAAAGTTCTTTTTTGATAGTATGTGTATAATATCAAACTTGATATTTAATTTGATTTGAAAAATTACAATAGAAAAATCTTTAAATAGTTATTTAAAATTTTATTTTTATGAGTATATTATAACCTACAGTTTTATTTTGATACGTTAAATATTATAATATTCTAAATCGTAATTGATTTTATTTCTATGTTTACTTACCCATCTTTAGATAATATAAGTTATTACTTTTATTTAAATTTTAATTGTTTATAAAATATAATAAAATCAACTATATAAGATGTTTTAAATCAAAACATAATTTTAGAATGAAAAACTTCAGCCATCATCTAAATCTATTTCAAGACAGATGTGGAAGAACTTAAATGAATCTTATAAAAACTTGATTGTATTAAAATGGTCCATTTGGTATTGCTTGGGCTTAGTTGGCTATATGATAGTAAGTTTACTATGGTATTAAATCGTATGATATTAAATCGTATAACTGAACATTTTATTCAATTATAAAGTAACATTTATAATTACAGATAAATATGTCATTCCTAAGTCATGAGTTTGGTGAAAATGAGCAAGTTAATGGAGTAGTAGAATCTTTGACCATGTTAATTGGTAAGTGAATTATTTAATTTTAAATATAATAAAAATTAAGAAATATTCATCAAACGAAATTTATTTATATATATAAACTATATAACTATATAACTTTATAATATAAATGTATAACTATGTATATTATAAATAATATAAGTTTTTATATATATATATATTTGAAATGTTATATAGATATAGATAATTTTTAGTTATTATGTTATTCGTCATATTTGATATAATATTGACGTATATGGTAAAAATATATTTTAAATTACGTATGTACTATGTTTTTAGTGTCTATAAAATCAGCTAAATATTATACATGCATATAATATTATGTAGACCATCACATTATTTATTAATAAAGGTACTCTTTTTTAAAATATCCAAGTCCAATGAATTGCTCATTAGTTATTATTAAAATATTAACAAAAATACCAATATACCTATAATATAATATCGATAGATTCTATTACCTTGTCATATATTATGTTCACAGGAGCAGTTAGTTCATACAAAATTGGCGTAAGACGAGTGAATTGGGAATTAAAATGTAATGCGTTCATAGGATCTGGGACATTGATTCTTGGTATGTGCGTAATATTTTGTTACTTTCACCAACAAATGTTATCTGTTCAGCTATCGTACATATTATTTGGATCACTAATTCAAGCTATGTTTGTTATATCATGGTAAGTAAAAATATACTGGTTTTTAAAAAAAATATTATAATAAAGTAAATTCGTCATTAGGTTGTGTTTAAATAACCGAATTATATTATTAGCAATAAATAATATTTATAGGTATATCCGATATTTTTCTTTTACTTGCATAACTCTCTAATATTTTTCAATTCTAACGTAACATATGATAACGTATTATATGTAAACAATAATTGTATTATTTATTTTCATATACTATTTTTTGTTAATTTAAAAGGTCTGAAATTGCAAAACAGCTGAAAAATAAATGTTATGCACTCATAATGTGTTTTAACACTTTCATATCTTTAGTAGTTTTATTGTGCTATAAAGAACTTTTCATTCGTGGTAATATCTTCCAGATTAATATCCCTGAACAGGTACGTTTAAAATAATATTTTTAATTTTACATTTGTATTTATAAGAATACAAATGAAAATATTTATTCGATTGTCTTTGTATTTATCAAAAAGATTATAACTTGAAACATATACTTATAGGTTCTTTTGTTCGGTAGCACATATATCATCATAGGGATAATTTACTTGATACCTTGTGGTATAGAATTTAAGAGAAGTCTGGAAAATAGTTGTTCTGTATACGACGTTTCCTACTGAATAAAGAAATCATACAATATTTACTTTTACACATGATCCGGATTAAGACTAAAATTAAATTCCTTAAATAATAAAACGTTTACTATTATATAAATTACTTTTATTTAGATCTCACTACCAATCTTAAGATATATTTGGTTTTTTACGAGAAAACTTACTTTTACAAATTATGAAATATAATCAAAGTATTCAAAAATAATGAATATGTACATTAATTTTAATATTTATATCTATAGTTTAATATTTGTAAAATATTGATTTTAATTTTTAAATTGATGTTAATAGTACTAAGAAAGTTAGTGAACCATAAAAGTTAATTCAAATCTCAAATTATGATCTATGTATTTATGTTTTACTTTAATATAGCTCATACTTTTTTTTTGTTTGTATTTTTTCATAAACTTTGTTTTTAAATACATAATTTTAAAATTTAAGATTTTAGTTATTTACTATTCGATGTTACAGTATATTATATGTAATTAATATGTATTTAATGTGTGCAAAGTTTATACTCAAATGTGTCGTAACATATAACAACTGTAATGTCTATGCTTAAATTTAACTGAATTAATAAACTTTCATAATAATTACTCGCATGATAAAAAATATAGAAAATTATTTATTTAAATCCATGTCCTACCATTTTTTTCTGTTCTTTTAGGTTCTGATTAAAGTAAGTATTGGGTGCAGTAATGTTATATTTTTTGGTATACATTTTTCGGGTAATAAATCTGCACCAATGTATGAATTAACTTTTTAAATAGAAAATAAGACATATCTGACACGTTAAAATGATTAATTTTTAATTTTCTTAGTTATCTTAGTTTTCTTATTTTTTCCACCATAATAGTTATTTTTATTTTATTTTTTTTTATTTTTTTTTTATAACTTTTAATCAATATAAAAAATGACATATATATATTGTATATTTCTTTTAATAAAATTATAAATATAACAGACGAAGTATTATAGTTGATTAAATATTATAAACCAATCTATCCCTACAATATTTTACTGTAGCTAAAAGGTTATTTATAATTTATAAAAATTATATTTATTTATCAAGGTTTTAAAATTTGAATTTTGAAAATTTATTATTTTGATAAATATGAGGAAAATATAATTTATATACTTCAGAATTTCAATAACAATTTATCTCAGGTATACCTAAATATAGTTAATGGTATGTTTGTTGTATGTTTATTCTCACTGATAACTTGGTTTAAAAAAAATAAATTTTCATGTATTCTATATACTTGCACTTAGAAATTTTGAATTTTATAATTTTTGTTATGTTTTCAATAATTCGATCGCGTAATCAGTTCGAAATTAATGAACATAGTAACGAATCAATAACACATATTGAAGAAAAATTACAAAAAAATAAATATTTGTATTGATTTTTAAAAAATGATACATGATACCACATGTGTATTATTTTTAAATATTTTGTAATTTCATGTGTACATAAATACATGCATTCACATTCACTGTTTTAAGACAGGTATGTCAAAAACAGACTTGATTGCGCCGGAATAATTATTATTGTTCTGCACAAGCGCCCTTTTTTAGCCTAATCCTAAATATAACAAGCATAGGTAGATTTCGGACGAAGAAGAAACAACAATGGAAATTATACAGACCGTGAATAACGGACTGTCAAAACAATTTAGCGGCCTATGACTTGATGCTGATATGTACGTTTGAACAAGGCGTATTCATGTAGTAAATTTCCGGAAACAACAGAGTTAATTTTTTATTTGCCTATAGAATTACGCAGTGTAAATAAGAATAAATTAAAAAAATAATATTTATAATTTAGTACTGGTAACTGTTTAAAATATTAAATGTTTCACTGTTTATTCCTTGAACCTATACGTTCAAATAAATTAAGTTTTATTTCAAAATCAAATATGAATCACTCAATATTATTGATACAACTTTATAAGACTTTCGTCCCACTATCATAATTGTGTATAAATATATTATTTTTATGCACACACACAATCACACACACACACACACACACACACACACACACACGAAAATTTTAAACATTAGCTGTAAATAGTAATGTAAATGTATGTTTAAATTACCTGTCTAATATAGATGCAACTATGGATACGCAAGGTGGTCATTAGTTCCCCTGTTTCTTTTAGGTCAATCTATAATAACTATAGTGAAATACCATTAACTTTATTATTAGCGATTTCAGAACCCCCAATATTTGGATATTAGTTGCGTTTATGCTGCCTAAATGAAAATGTGTAGTAATGTTAAGATAAAAATGCGAATAGTTAAAAATTTAAGAAAAAGAGAAAATAAAAATAAGTAGGTATATCACTTCAGAGTAATGAGAAGATAGTTGTATTTATATTGACACGAACTTGTTATAATTTATACATATATACCACTATACTTCATCATTAATTTTTTGTTTTTTTTTTTTTTTTATACGAAAATTCGATGAGGAGGATTGGGGCAAAATCGATAATTAAACATTATGAATCGTCCCGACCCGCTGTTAAAGCCACGAGAAAATGAGAAACAAGTGTATGGTACGGCACTCAGTGATTGGCGCCCCACCACTAGCCGCGTGCGCTTGTGCGTATACTTGTATACGATGCTCTCCCGGATATTCCTGGAGCCCCAGCCCGCAGGATCCCCTTTAACTTCCGTTTTCCGACAATCGACCAGGTCTGGTAGCGGTGGTGCGATCAAACACTCCCCTCTACCCTTGCTTCAACAACCCCCTCGGAAAGCTTCATTCGTTTGACCGGCATGTACACAATTCAATAGCGAGTTTCGGGCGATAGCTTTACGGTGGTAGGGCCGGAGGGGGTTGGGATTGTAGAAAAAGGGAGCATTTCCCTTCCTCCACACCTTTTTGCCACATTCTCTCCGGTCCACAAAGCCAAGTTAAAGCCGACCTGATAAACCCTATACACAGTTCATACTTAAAACAAACTTACCCTTACTGCCGCAGTAAAATATATACTCGAATAAAATATGACGTCTGTACAAATCGTAATAGATTGTTAAGCAGTTCTAAGCGTATTTTAGCTACTTGTTTTGTTAAAACTATCACCAAGGTTTGAGACAATTATTTCTGTAACTAAAATATTTAATTGATTATGATATTTTGTGTAAATTTAATAAATGTAAATCAAATAACTTTGTTGCACAATGGTACATTTTAATACTATCATTGATCACAATCATCATACTCGCATTTATTAAAAAGAAATATTAATACCTACATAATGTAGAGACCGTAAACATATAGTGATACATTATAAGTATTCAAAAGCATTTACTAAAATCGTTAAATAATCGAAATTGCCTTTAAACAATAAATTGAAATAAATACTTATTCTAAAACAAATATCAACTTATTACAATAAAGTTAGAAAATAATGGACATTGGATAGGTCTTATGTATTCTAGTTATACAACATTTAGAATCGTGCGTGTTTACATGTAATATGCATTATACAAATTGTAAATCTCTTTAAGTCATGGTTTAACAGTTTGTCACACGTTTTATACATATAACCCTTCATGAACTCGAATTGAATTTAAATAATAATGTTGTCATTTTAATATTGGTGATAAATTTTTTTATTGTACACAGTAAGAAAGGGTCCAATAAAACCCCAATCAAATTATAAGACTAAAGCAATTGATTACAAAATATAATGAAATGTATAATATCAGACGCGTACACAAAGAAATGTTTTGGAAGGGGTTTTACGTTGTACATTTTCATAATAATATAATCTATATACCAATTTTACTATATAAAAATATATTTAATATCATTTTCCTGAATTTCGGGAGAGGTTTGAACCCCTAAAACCCCCTTTGTGTACGCGCCTGTATAATATAAATTATATATGTTCTATAAATTAGTACAATAATTACTGATTAAAAATTATACGCTAATTATACTTAACACAATGCATATGAATTTTGTATTATTAATATTGCCTGAAAGTATAATATGGACGTACCATACAATTTTCTTTTTAAATATAAGTGGTAAAGTAATTGTGTTATTTATGAAGTAATACACTATTTGAATATAATAAATAATATTTCATAAAAATTATAATTGAATTTATTTACCTTTGGAACAGAAAATTAGAAGCTTATATAATTGTCATGATCTAAAACTATAGGTATTTTATTTTACAAAAATTATGAAATGCCATAACTATGAATATCTTTTATGAAAAACAAGTAAATAGACCACACATATTTATAATTTGCCTACTCGAATGGTCAACATAAGATATCTAAAATAACTTTTTACTCTAATATAGTCGATACATCTGATAATTTAATAATGATTTTAAATTTAATTTAATTTAATTTGTTAATTTCAACTTTATATTTTGGAATATTAATTAGCATAATATTTATAAAAATATGATTGAGTGATTCAATTTAAGTATAAAATTGTTAAATAATTTTAAATTTGCTGATATATCATTTGACTTTTATTACAATAGTTTTTTAGTTAAATAATAAACACAAAATAATTTATAAGAAATTCACTTCTTAACATAAATCACTAAATACAGATACCAATACCAACATATTCACTTTTTCTATTTGGTTGTCAATGAATATATGTATATGTTTATATGCACGTTAATGTGCCCATTACACAATATTCGATTGCAATATCATTAACTTTGAATTTATTGCCATGCAGAGATTATTCAAATTTAATCACTTCTGTATAATGTGCATTCATAGAGAAGCGAAAACTTTTAATTTAACCTAAGCGGTTTTCCTGGTTAAAACCTAAACACCTCCCTCCTTTTAGCCCCTACGCAAAACCAATTACATAATAACGTGTTAAAGTCCCTGTGAAGGGATAATAGTCACGTTCAATGGTTATACATACATATATAAGTACACACACACCAACATATTACACATAAACGTAATACGTATATGATATAAATATTTATGTTCTACTACATATATTCTATAAAATGTACTGCGGGTCTTGTTTATATAATCCAGTATATATTTGAGTATATTATATACGAGTACTATATTGTCAGTGTTGATATGCTTCATATATGTATAGTTTAAGGTGACAAATATTAATCTGAAATTTAAGGTGACAAAATATTTTATATAAGTATGCGATAATAATTGAA